AAAAATGGCGATAAAAAACAAGTGTCATGCAGGTTATATATACACCGTACATATTAAGGAAACTTACTGTTTACAAGGATACAGATTTTTACTGTAATATGTGCACAGTTTTTTTAACCACTGTATTCACAGCCATTGTTTACAGCAGGTACTAACAGGCACAACCTGGCTCAGCTTTAGTGAGCAAGCATGTGAGAGTTGCAGAGAGCTAGCTGGATAGCACGGAGGGTAGTAAAGACCAAACGAGGACAACGGATCACAGACAAAAGCATGCTGAAAAAATTGCAGATGAAGGTTGATGGAGACAATTGAGGTAAGGGATGATTTGAGAGGATATGAGGCTGTAATTCAAGAATGGAGGTCACAGCACATGAGGCTGATCGTATGTAGTGTTGAGGAGATCTGGTAATGGGCTGCAGCTCATGATGAATCAAGATCTGATGACTTAGTGTGCTGACTGGTGGAGAAGCCTGGTGTACAGAACACCTCTCTCCATGGCCCACTGCTGAGGACTACAAAACTCAGCATGGAGCTTTCGGTGTAAGAAGTCTTGGCAAGGTACCCACAACCTTTTCCTTAGGACTGTAACCTTCCTAGGTATTCTAGTTGTCCATCATGGAAAGTCAGAAACACCTTTAATGTGTATACTGTACCGTCTTACAGAACTATCAGAACAGGGGTCTCATCTACAGGGCAAGGCTCTTTGGGAACAGGAGAAAGAGATCAGTGATGTGGTTTGAGGAGTGAACCAGAAAGTAGGGTGAATTCTGTAAATGACTGAGTTGATTCTAAAGAAGATGGTGAAGGGATTAACGAACCTGGGACTTGCAGGGAAGATGAACTCGAATGGTGGAACGCTACATGCTCTGACATGATTGGAATATGGGAGTGGAGAGTCTATGGATATCTGCAGTCCAATCACCTGCTGCAGACATTATTGTACTGAAGTCCAGACCTTCTTGCTCTCTTGGGATCCGTTCTTCGTACGTGGATTACTCAATTAGCTGGATTTGGATATTGACTATTTGACACGATCCAGGATCGTTTCGTTCTTCAAAGCTGATCCGAGAGTTGTTGTCATAGCAACAGTTCTGCTAGGTCAAACCTGATCGGGAGCAGGTTCAATTCATAGGATTAGATTGGCTTAGTTCAAGCAAAGATAATACAGAAAGTATGTTCTGAATTCTGATATTTTCTTACAGTAGTAGTTATATACACTTGGGAAAATGGTACATATTTTTAACTATATATAAAGTTATAGTCATTAATAAAATAAATAAAGTTATACATATTAATAAAACTTATGCAATCTGCACCCTCGAAATGAAAGTACAAAGACTGCCACCTGGTGGTGCAAAGAGACAACTTATTGATATGAATTTTTAGATCGCTTTAGTACAAATTGTGTATAATAGAAATGCACAATATGAGACTTTTTTAAAAGCAGTAATACATTTATGCAGTCATAAACATGTTTTGATAGTTAATATGCCGGTGATTTGATGCTCCACAAAAGTTGCAGATGCCTTTACCAATATGAAAACGCTTTTGTAAACAACCAGTTATTCTTTACACCGATTAAAAAACAGCTACTATAATAAAGAAAATCTTTTCTAAATGTAGAACTAAATACATTGATTTGCATTGAAATACATGATGAGTACACTTGACACATGACATAAAAGTGTAAAGCCTGCAGCTCACAACAAATGAGGAAGGTTATTGCGTGTCATATTTAACAAGCCGTTTACTGCTAATTTGATGTAATTTTGCTCACATGGATAATTGAATATTAATCAGATGATGTCATTACGCTGCTGTGCCGTCAGCCAATCGTTGCATTGTTGATCATGATTTCGAGGACCGATAGATCTGTCCTTCACAACACACGCAGCGATCTCAGATCAGTTTATCCAGACTTTCTAATCTGATTTGGAACTTGTTTGAAGAACCAAATTAGCGAGAGATCAGTTATCAAGATTAAAAGATCCAGGATCTGCCAAATCATCTTAGATCATTTAAGCGAGGTACGAAGAACGGACCCCTGGGTAGGGTTGTGCCAGCTGTTCATAAGGTCTTGCTTAAAGAGGTGGTCCAGAGTGTATTTTTTAGGGTTGCTTGTGTTTATAAAATGCAAAGCAAAGTGTTTTCAAGCTTCAATTGTAAACAACAAAAACAAAAATATAATATAACAATTTTTTTTTTCGTATTTCTCACTTTGAGTATTTACAGCTACTCAACTAACATGAAAACGACTGTTACATTTTCTAGTTCCTCCAAAAGCCTGCCCTCGAGAGGCTCTGATTGGTCAGCTAACATAATGTGCTGTGATTCACGTCTCCGGCTCCACATCACCAGGAAGCAACACTTCCAGTTACGCCTCTGTTGGCACGTGCTGAACCTCATGCCTGCTCTCTAAAATAAAACCTGACTAGTATCAAGTACTTTCAAATTTATTCAGGTTATAAGCATGTGTAAGTAACATATAACGTTCACATATCTTTTGCAAGTTAATAGAGAGATACTGCAGCGCTGCTGAAGATTGTGGGTGTTTACAGCGGTTTGATGAATAAATATGAATTAGTAGCTAAATTGTTAGTGGTGCCAAACAGCATTTCCCGTTGTTTACATCCTTTTTTACATCCTCACTACAACATGCACTTACAGACATCCCAAGTCTCCCGGAAGTTGCGGGAGTATCCCTAAAATGCATAGACACTCACGGATGCCCGCAAATGAATTATAATCTCCTGGAAATCGCGCGTCTCCTGCCCGGTCCTTAAATACGTTGCTCACCCCTCTCTCCACCGCATCCCTACTAGCTCTTCAGGTATGTCTCGCGCAACTCACCCGCACCTTTCTTAAGGTACGTCGCACGCAACTCATCCCCACCGCTCTTCAGGTATGTCGTGTCGCGCCCAACTCCCACCGCTCTTTGGGTACGTCTTGCGCGCACACAGCCCCCTTCTCAGATACGTCGCTCACTGCTCCTTCTTTGAGGAGTTTTCAGACTGCTGTATTAAAGAACAAAATTGTATCACAAATAATATATAAATATATTTATAGATTTTAATAAAACAAATTCTTGTGTTGTGAAGAAAAAATCTAATTATGTATGGAAAGCATCGTCAATGCACCGTGATGCACTGAGATATTGAATTGAACCGAATCAATGGCATGATAATCGTAACTAAACCAAGCCGTAAGACCAGTGTAGAGTCACACCCCTACTTGTTATAGACCTTTTTCTTGGCTGCTGCATGGAGGGCGCCACAGTGACCATCATCTTCCGGTAGAATGTTTAGAACTTTCGTTTACAGCATTTATAACCGGTAAATTGCGATCCGAAAATGGGTTTCAGTAGCATTTTGAGTGGATTATAGAACTTTGAAAGGTGTTTGTTAAAGCTGTTATAATCTGTCAGATCTGTGGTTCAAGCGCGAGAGAAAAACTGTATCATATAAGCCATCTTTCTTTTCATTCTGCTTAATCACGTGTCCCAAAAAAGATATTTAAAATGAACAAATCGATATGATGTCTTTTGACAGCTTTCTTTAATAACTACATTACACAATACTTGTACTTTAACTTTCAGTTCTTGAGTAATACATTTTGAAATAAACTACTTGCAATACTTAAGAGCAAAAAAGGTTGAATACTTCAGTACGTCCCCTTAAGTATGGTGCTTAAAGTGCTCTTCAACTTTTACTCAAGTAAATTTTTGATAAAGTACTTGTACTTTTACTAAAGCCTGGGTCTCTAGTACTTTATACATCTCTGAAAGGCATGCAGTACAGGTAAATTGGGTCAGCTAAATTGTCCTTAGTGTATATGTGTGAATGAGTGTGTATGGATGTTTTCCAGTGATGGGTTGCAGCTGGAAAGACATTTGTTGCGTAAAACATATGCTGGATAAGTTGGTGGTTCATTCTGCTTTGGCGACCCCAGAGTAATAAATGGACGAAAAGAAAATAAATTAATGAAGGATGAGAACCCAGAACAGGTGGCTCGAACAAGTGGAAGAATTTCTTTATTGAGACGTGTTGGCTGATCTGCAGTCATACAGCACCTTCAAAAAGTCCACAAGTCTGCAAGAGCCTATAGGAGTCTTGTATAGGTCTGCTAAGTTTTATTAAGTCTGTAAGCAAGTCCAAAGTGAGTCTATAATATGTTTTAAGAGTAAAGGAGTGGCTATGTGGAGATGGATAAACGGGCATGACTAGTTTAGTTGAAGATTTAGTTTCAGGGTCCTGAGGTTTCACCTGCCTGACCAGTTTCACCTGAGGTAGGTAGTATCACCTGAGGAGTTAAGACCCTGAATGAAACAAGCTAATTAAAAACCAAAGAATATAACTTTTCAGTTATATAAAGATTATTTATCATTTGGAACTAGATTATATACATTTTTATTTCCACAACTATTAACACTGTACCAGGCAATACATTGATGGGCAATATTTTAATGGCCATCCCTGCAGAAAATAAATAGAAACCTTAATATAATTTGAATGCTTTTAATGGTTACAATGGACATTTTTTATTGATTTTATTAGAAACCCTTATTGTCATTTTTATTTTATTGGTGATGTGTGAAAATCACATAATAAAATAATAAAAATGTATTGGAATATGTCCCAAACATTAGAAACCATCATTTCATCTAAGATTTCATGTTTAAAATTTGATGGTTTGTACAAATGTTTTTGAAGTGAAATGAAGTGAAAGCCATTAGAACTTCTGTAAAGGTTTATTTATTTATTTATTTATTTATTTATTTATTTATTTATTTATTTATTTATTTATTTATCAGCAAGGATAACCTCTAGCACGTTTTTACGCGCTAAGGCTCGCAATTTGTTGTACTAGGCGCCCTCTATAAATAACAACTATAGGCTAATACTGTACTAAACCGAAGCCTTAAGTATCCGCTTGTCTCCTGAGTGTTACATCCATTAATCTATCACGTCCCGGTGGTTTCTGTTAACTCACGTGCTGCCGGTCGCAGCTGCGTCACGCGAGAGCAAATGACACGCTGAAGGAGCGCACACAGACGGACGCGCGCGACAGAATAAAGAGCGAAAAAACACAAACGGTTACTACAACGCTTCCGAAGCCGTTTAACCGTTTACATGACATTTTCTCCGCCTTCCTCACAGTAGCCGTAGAGTAAATTCCCCACACACGAACAAGAAAATAAGCCAGAATATCAGGGATGGATGTGAAAGATCAAGGAGCGCAGATGGAGCCGCTGCTTCCTGCGGTAAGAACCTGTTTCGTTTTTTTTTTAAATGTGATATCCGTTAATTCAAACACCATGACAAGATGCTGTTGTGTAGGGATGAAACTGGGCTTTAGTGGTTCGAGATACTGGTCTTTGAAGCATTTCATGGCCATCATCATATATTCACCAGCACCATTGGATGACAATATGTTTTAATTATTCATTACACCTTTAATACAGACTCATTGGCTTGAAAATAGCTTCGTGTTACACATGGATTCGGTGTTTGTCGTGTGAAGTAGATCATTATATACGTTTAGTAGTGTGTGATGATACAGTAGGCTGTGTGGTGTGGATGGATGAATGTGTTTTGCTTTTCACGAGTTGAATGCTTTCATTTTCCTCTGAATTAGTTATGAATTTTGGGAAGGCTTTTGCATATGAATGCGCTTGACATGTAGATCCACCTGTTCAGCTTATTTACTACCTTTATTCATTGGCATTCATCGTGTTACCGCGTCTTTAGAATTGGTGAGGCCATAAATATTTAAAGGGACAGTTCCAGTGTAGGCTCATTGGAAAAACGTGACTGCCTACATACATTTTCAACACTGTAGCTAACGTTACATAAATCTACCTACTGTATGTACTAGTTGGGTATGGGGTAGAGGGATAGAAAATACAGCATATACAGTATAAAGATCATTACATCTGAGAGAAATCCCTATAATGAAAGCTGTTCAAGAGTGAGTGTGCGTGAGAGAGGGAGAGATGATCATCTTTGAGACCCTTATGAAAAAGCAGATATAAATTACAACTGGGTCTAAAACATTATTTGAAAAGTTATTTTCTGTAAAGGTACATTAGATTTTTATCTATTCATATCTGTACTTTATTATTTGTTTACTTACACGTTACTTACTTTCATAATAATTACCTGTTAATTAGACCTGTCACAATTTCTGTTTTTCGTTGTACAATATATTGCACCAAAATATATTGCAAAAAACAACACTATTGTCATTTTAAGACCATTTTATGTCACTCCTTATATAACGTCAGAGTGACAATACAACATCACCGTCAAGCAAGTACACAATTCCAAAGAAAACATAATATTTTATTCTTAAAAATATTACATTTAATTTATAGTCATTTTAACAGTTAAATAGTTAAGCATTGTGACCAGAATGTAAAAGCACATATCCTAAATAAATAATAATAAACGTTAACAAAAAAGTGCAAGGTAAAAAGTGACAAAGGCAGATCTAGTTTCAGTTGTCAGACACCCACATAAAAATATATTATATTAATTTATAGTAATTACTAATGTGCTTTTGTAACCATACTGACACTGACACCTCTAATAGAAATAGAGATGTTGCACTATCAGCTAAAATGTTGCTAGAATTGTTTTTATGTATTGGGATATATATTGCATTGTGCAACAAATTGATTTATTGATTATTGTGACAGGCCTAATTTTAATTATTATTTATTGTCCTTTTTAGTCCAGTTTTACATTTATTTTGTTGTTTATTTAGTGTTTCTATTTAAGCACACATTTAAATATTTATTTCAATTTTTATAGTGTTTTTATAGTGTTTTTTTCTAGCTGTTATAATATATTTTTGTTATTATATTATTTTATTATTTCCTGTATTCCAGTTTGTTTTTTATTCAGACAATATTTGATTTATTTGATTCTTTTTTATATATAATAATTTAATACAAATCTATTTTTTATTAATTAACCTTTATTATTGTAGCACCTTACTACAACCAAGGTTAACCAAAGTGCTTTACACCAGTAAAAACAAATTATGCAACACAACTAGAAAGCAAAGCAAACAATGCAAAAACAGTGGAAGAAATGTTAATAAAATGCAGCAAAGCATTAAAACAGAGACAAGTGTCAGTGCTACTAAAAGCCATTTTGGACAATTGGGTCTTAAGCTTGAGTTTAAACATTTTGTAAGTGTGGATTTATGTTTTCATCTGTCTTCATCTGATACCAGTTTGTAAACCCCTGATGGTTTTCTTTACACTGTAAAACCAACAATGTCCTCCCTGTGTTTGCGTGGGTTTCCTTTGGGTGCTCCAGTTTCCCCAACTGAATTGGATGGACTAAATTGGCCGTAGTGTATGAGTGTGTATGTGAATGAGAGTGTTTCTCAGTACTGGGTTGCGACTGGATGGGCATCCACTGCGTAAAACACATGCTGGATTAGTTGGCGGTTCCTGGTTGTTTACTATTTCAAGTTATCTCCCCTATACCCTATATTTCTTTCAAAAGTTCCAACGTACTTTCATTCATTCATTCATTCATTCATTCATTCATTCATTCATTCATTCATTCATTTTCTTTTCAGCTTAGTCTCTTTTTTAATCTGGGGTCGCCACAGTGGAATGAACCATATTTGATTTACGAAGGGGATACCTTTCCAACTGCAACCCTGTACTGGGAAACATTCATACACTCTCATTCACACACATACAATGTGGACAATTTAGCTTATCCAATTTACCTATACCACATGTCTTTGGACTTGTGGGGGAAAGTATAGGTGACCTATAATTTACAAGGATAAATATCCTAAGCTTGTGAAGATAAAAATATAGTATACTGTATGTAAAATGGTGTTGATTTATAGTAGCCTCTTTAAATGTATCTGTACTGTATATGAGATGTAGGCTATGATATTTCTGCAGGGGTTTGGATGTATCAGAGTTATTAATAAAAAACAGCCTGCTTAACAACAACAACAACAACAACAACAACAACAACAACAACAACAACAATAATAATAATAATAATAATAATAATAAAGATAATGATAAAAAATAATAAAAATTATAATAATTATAATTTCTGAATCTAAATGTACAAAATGGCAATAAAAATGTCTTCATAAAGGTATTTTTTACATTATTTGACCTTATATGTGATATATAGGCTAGGGTATCAGCCATTGTAATTGATGTTTTAGCTATTGTAATTGGTTTTGTAATGAGTGTGTCTGGCAACAGAGGTGAGGATCCAAATGCAGTTAAGAGATTCGTCTGGCAGGAAAAGGTCAAATCAGGCACAGACAGGAGCATGCAGGTAATCCAAAAGCGTAGTCAGAGTAGCAGGCAAGTGGTCAGGACAGGTGACAAAAAAAACAACAACATAAAACGATGAACAAAGCAAAGGTCAAAACTATGGTAGGCAGGACAAGAAACACTTCGTAATGCCCACTTATAACAAGACTCAGCAAACAGTGTGTGTGAATGAGGTTTGTTTATATTTCTAGTTATCAGTTCATCATAAGTTTTCAGCTGTGTGTGTGCGTGTGTGTGTGTAATGAAGGGGAATCAGGAACTGCTCTATGTGTGCAAAGACTTCTTGGAGTTGCATTTCATATAGTGGCAGATGTGAGAAGAATAGATTGAACTTTATTGTTACTTTGACTATGTGTATCTGATAGGAATGATTAGGGCTGCTCGATTATGGGAAAAATCATAATCACGATTATTTTGTTCATAATTGTAATCACGATTATCCAAAACGATTATCAGTTGAATTCAAAACGATTAGCGCTCCTGTGAAATGTTTTTAATTTAAAAAATAAATAAATATTGCCCAAATGATGTTGTACAGATTCAGGAATTTAATAATGCTAATAATTCAGGAGGGCTAATATTTCTGACTTTAACTGTATATGCACAGTTATTTTCCTCCCTGTAAATAAGGAAAGAGAAATGAATACAGTAGAATAAAAATATGAAACAAACTGTGCTTTAAGCATCTTCACTGTAAGAATAAAACTTTAGTTACAAAAGTCCTTCAGTCAAAAGCAGTGAAGGATTTTGTCCTTTTGCTGTTTGATTAATAATGATAGAAACAGGCGGCAGCATGAATATTGGGCACTGTCACTTTAATGGTTTCTCTCTCGTGTCTTTTGATCCTCAACTCGTTTGTTTAAATGAGGGTTAATATAAATAATCACTAAACACCACGTTTTGACACCTATTTGACCATTAAAGCGCTCACATTAAGATGAATGTAGATGTGTGTGCCCTGCTCGTCTTTAAGCGCACAGTGTGCAATTGAGGCCGAATGCCGACTGCATGTTGTTTGTGCGTGTGAATTTTCAATTAATTGCACAGCCCTATGAATAATACAGTACACATCGGCAAATTATATTTCAATGGATTGTTAGACTTTTATAGACTTTCTTGTGTGTTTTACAAACTCTAATTGTATTATTGTCTAAAAAAATGTCTAAAACATAAAATAAGCATTAGGTGGTTAAAAACACTGCATAATTGTGATTATAATGACAAGTCTTTCTCTGGTTCAGCACCAGCCATGGCTCAGTTTGACAAGTAACAAGTAAACAGCAGCACTAGGGACATTATGTTCCTCACTTTAAAAGAGAACAAAAGCAGGATTCTGTTGTGATTTACCCTGCTGTTGCTCCATTCCTCCTCATCAAAGACTCCAACACGTTCGCGTTTCAGGAGCTGGATCATTGCTGTGGTGCTCCTGTCATCACTTTTGCATATTCGGCCGTTAACACAGTTTTTTTTTTGCTTATTTTGTGAGAAATACTCCCACACCTTGGATGACTAGGGTTGCACAGACTTCTCTGCTTTCGCCACATATCTTTTCTTTAACGTTACTTCCCCTGGCTTTTTGCTCTGTCCTGTCTATGAGGCGTCGAATTCTGCTGGCATCAGTGCGCGAGAGAGGCTGAGTACGTTCACTCCATTCCGTGCTCAACTAAAGTTTTTTTATTAAATCTGATCGATTCAATTATGAAATTTGATGCCAACGCTTTTAGTAATTGATTTTAATCGATTTAATGGATTTGTTTTTGCAGCCCTAGTTTTTACCAAAGGTAATATTGGATTTAAAAAAATGCATATATGTGCATGTAAAATAATATAATTAGTACAAAGCAAAAAATTATTAGTGAATGCAGATTTTCTCTAAAGAAGTTGTTACTCCACCCCGTTTAGAACATCATTACAGACGTTTTACATTATAACTA